CCCGCGGTCTCAGCCTGGACCTGCTGGCTCCCGACCAGCACCCGGTCACGTCATTGCCGCGAAGACTAGAGGTAAAGGAGCCCAGGCGGCAGGGTGGCGTCTGGTAGGGGGGGGGATGGTGGTGTTGGGGGGGGGTGCAATGACGGGCTGCGAGGAGGTTTGCATGCACATGACTATCCGATAGCGGGGTATCATCACATATGTAACTTGGGAGTGCCGAGTGGTTCAATTAAAATCTTTTTACAAGTGGGGTTGTGCCCGGTGGATTTTTTCCAAAGTGCTTAAAAGGTTTTATGAAAAGGTTTTTTTAAATTAAAAAGTAGACGAAAAAATAGACGTCAAGGCAATCAAGAAGACGGAATACACGAAGCAGACCCCGGCGGAGATATCCGCGTGCGGGAGAGTCAAGGGTGAGGCAAGGGGCCTGCAAGGTTTTTATAATTCCTGGCCCCTGTATGTGTATGTGTCGCAAGCCGCTCAGCGCCGCGGTCCGCGCCTTACAGATGCGGAATACTTTTATTCCCGCGACTAAAAAACCCTATTCCTCGTTCGGACTGCTGCAAAATTGATGACGGGCAGAAATGAAAAAAAAAACACTGGCTGCGGACCGTATATGCCGCTGTGCATGCCATGTACACACAGTCTGTGCATGGCGTGAACATCCACATCCGCACTCGCACTCGCACTCGCATCCGCATTGCCATTCCCATCCCATAAAAGATCCACAGATCTACAGATCCGCATCCAGAGCCCGGAAAAACCACCATCATGGTATTATTAGCTGTATGCCGTGATGTAGGATAGATAGCTAATCACGCGCTCTGTCGCGGTGGCTGTCGTGGCTGCGTTCATTTCTTGCAGGAGGAGTTGGGCGTGACGTTGTTGCACTACCAATGGCCGCTGGCAGCGGTTGTGGAGGCGGCTGGGGGGGCGGGGGAGGTGCCGGGGGACTCCAGCTGGCGGCCCATGCAGGTGGGGGTGAGGGTGGGGATGGGGGTGGGGGTGGGGGATGTAGACGACTTGTCCACCCACCTAGCAGAGGTAGGTGGTAGAGAAGGTTACGAGCACAGTCATTTGCTGTTGAACATTCTCCCCCTCTCTCTCTCCCTCTCTCCCTCTCTCTCTCCCTCTCTCCGCCTCTCTATCGCTCTCTCCCTCCCTTTTCTCCACCTCTCCCTCCCTACCTTTCTCTCCTCTCCTCCATCCCTCTCTCCGCGCCTCTCTCTCCCTCCCTCTCACCCTCTCTCCGCCTCTTTATCGCTCCCTGTTTGGTGTCAAATACACTACAGTAGTGATAATAACAACAAAAGCACACCCACTCATAAACCACACGCACATTTCCTGTCAGTGCGCTCGTGGCTTCTCCCTCCTTGCGGGGCCACACAACGGTTTACCAGACCCAACTGATTATCAGACCCTTTGTGTGTGTGTGTGTGTGTGTGTTTAAAAAAAACACCTGCCACCACCGCCTGCATGTGCAGGGCTCGGTCTTTGCGTGCTTCTCCATGCTGACCGAGGCGCTTGCCGAGTACGCCAGGGGCCTTTACAACAGCGGCAGCAGCGGCAGCAATACCGGTCAGCGTGACGGCGGGGAGGGGGGGGACATGAAGAGCAAGAGCGCCGCGCGTAGCAGCCTCCGGAGCAGGGCCAGCGGCAGGTACGGCGCTGATGAGGGGCAGCGAGGTTACCGCTACCTGGGGTTACCGCTACATGAGAATCGGTTGCGGGGGGGAAACGTGTGTGTTTTGCCACAGGACTCCTACACGTCTTTATGTATGTAAGAAGGGCCCTTCTTACGCCCTTCTTACGCCTTGAAGAGGAGGGTAACGCACTTCAAGAGGTGTAGCCAACAGACACATCACAGCGTGATGCTGATGCTGATCCTGATGCTGGTGCTGATTGTAATCTTGGTTTCCTTCCCAACGTTTCCCATCTTGGTTTCCTTCCCATGTGTATGCGGCAGTGTGAACTTGGAACTTGCTACCACCGGCAGCGTCGCTTCCTCGGGAAGTCCCCAAGGACCGCCACCCCCCCCTGGAGCGCCCCTGGAACCGGGATCTCGAGCAGCCGCTGCGGCCGCCAAGCTGGACAACTCGGTGACGGCTGCTGCTACCGGCAGCTTATTAGGCGGCGGCGGCGAGGACGGGGGACTGACCCGTGGGTCGCAGCGGTCCGCCGCTGTCGGCGCTGGAGGCAGCGATGATGTACGAGTGTTGTTGGTGATTGGCAACTCGGCAGTCATCCGTACGCGCGTCATGCCGGGGGTGGTGGAGCGGTATCGCAAGCTGCTCGCACGTACGTTTGCGTGTCTCGATAAAACATGTCGGAGCATGTATATGTATATGTATATGTATGTGTATGTGTATGTGTATGTGTATGTGTATGTGTATGTGTATGTGTATGTGTATGTGTATATGTATATGTATGTGTATGTGTATGTGTATATGTATATGTATATGTATATGTATATGTATATGTATATGTATATGTATATGTATATGTATATGTATATGTATATGTATATGTATATGTATATGTATATGTATATGTATATGTATATGTATATGTATATGTATATGTATATGTATATGTATGTGTATATGTATACATGTGTGTGTGTCTCCCAGTAGGGAGGCAGACCGAAGCCGTACCGGACAGGACCCCATCTCCGGCTCAAGGCTGGTTTGACGTGTCGGCAGCTCTGTACGAGCAACACCAAAGGCAGAGAATGGCACCGGACTCGGGCCGTACGGGGACCTGTCGTATACCGCCCTCGGTACGATTACAGGTCCCCTGTCGTACCACCCTCGTGTACCGCCGTGTCCGCACTTCCCCCTCACCCCACCACTTCCCGCACCGACACGACAATTGATTCTTTTTGTTTTCCTTTCATATCCATATGACATGGTGATTTGACATGGTGGTTTCTTCTCGGGTTCCTTGCAGCCACCTCCGAAGCTGCAGCAATCTGCCAGCGGCGCCTCCGTGAGCTCACCTCCTCCATGCGCCGTTCCAACGAGGCTCTGGGCTCCAGCTACCTAGGCCGCAAGGAGGCAGCCGTGGAGGCAGCAGTGCACGGCTACATCGCCGCGGCCACTGCACCGCTGCTGCCGCCGGCTTCTGGCCCCGCCGCCGCCACCGCAGCTGCTGCTGCTGCTGCCAGTTCCGCCCCCGACAACACCACTGCCTCCAAGAGCGTGCGCAGGCGACCGAAGGGCGAGGCGGTGGTGTCGGCAGCGGCGGCGGGGTTGCTGCTGCGGGGTCCGTCCGGTCCCAGCACGGGTTGTTGCTCGTTGTTGCAGCTGCTTATTGCGATACACAACGAGGCGCTGGCTTACTCGCCCAGTGAGTACGAGAGTGAGCGTGTTTACGGCGCTCGTTGCCTATCTGTTCCTGCACGTGTTTGTTTCTTTGCGCTCTGCCTTGCATTGCATTGCATTGCCCTGGCTTGGCTTGCCTTGCCTTGCCTGTTTTTTAATTTGCACGTGTACGGATTTCCATGCTGCTTTGGTTTCCCTGGACAGCAGAGGAGTGAGGGTGCCACGTGTTGCGTAGGAAACAGTGGCGATGGTGATGGTGATGGTGATGGTGATGGGCTTTTTGTGGTGGTGGGGCTTCTTGCGGCCTGTAACGAGCCCCTTGTCTGCTCTCCCCACCCCCTTCCTCTACCTGCTCTCTTTTCCCGCACGCACGCGCAATCCTCTCTCTCTCACACACCTACTTCTAACCACTCTGAACTTTCCAGTACAACATCATCGTCATCTTTTCCACTTTTCCGAACCTGTGGAAACTTCTACAGCCGGATAACGCGTGTTGTGTTCCCCGAGCTCTACCCAACCCATCCACTACCTCTGTTTTTCCTCAGCACCTTTGAACTGAACGGCGACCAGACCAGAGACCAGAGACCCGACTCCTCCTTGTCAGGCCCGACGCCCCGCGGCGCGACACGGCGCTGGGCGCGACACGGTGCTGCGCGTGTTAGGGCCTTTTATGATACCAGGGGTCTCTCCCTTAAGCCATTCTGCTCAACACGCTCCGCGGTCCGCCGTGACCGCCTTTTTCCTGCCTCCACTTTCCTTTCCTTTCCTGACCTGACTCGCGACCCAAGCAGTCCAAAAGCTTGGGGGATGGCATGGCATAAATCGCTGCTGCCCGCTTGCTGCCTGTTCAGGCAACCTACGCTCCTTCATGGAAGCCCTAGCGGAGCGCCTGGTGGGCGAGCTGGCGGCCGCATGCAGGAGACTCTCCGCCGCGGTGGCGGCAGCGAACAGCGGCGGAGGTGGAGGCGGAGGTGGTGGTGGTGGTGGTGGTGCTAGCGGCGGCATCAGGTCCGAGACTGCGACCAGCGTGGAGCAGCTGGTGCAGCTGTGGGCTGACCTGGGGTTCCTCGTGGCTGTGCTGCGGCCGCTGCTGACGGAAACCCTGGCAGCGGATCTACAGGAAGCCAAGGTGCGTGCGAATGTACGAATGTACGAACGTACGATCGTACGAAAATACGGACGTGGTGAAGTGGTCCTCTGCTTGGGGGATGGGCAGCACTGTACCTCTCACCGTACATTCCCCTGCACCGGCCTGGCCAGTCTGAGTGATCCTAGGGATCTACCTGAGCAAGGGATCTCAGGGCCCCCAGCCTGGCGCGGGGAAGCGTTTATGTTGCCCCGTGTGTTGGGCCATTCCTTCCTTATGATGAGCTTCTGGGTGCTAGGGCCCTTTGCCTGGGTGTTAACTATTAAAAAGTACATAGACCCTAAGCCTTTTCTATCCTCCATTGCCTTCGTCTGGCTGTCTGGGAAAGGCTGTGATAGGTGATATTGTTGGCAGCGAAATTGATATTAGCGAACAGTGGTACTACGCGATTATGTTGCTAAAAAACCCTATCAACGCCTCACCCCATTTGACGTGGCGGGGTGGGGAAACTTCGACAGGTTGATGTGGGTACGGCAATAACCGTGCGGCAGCGTGCGCGCCATTACCGGCCCGCATCGGAGACCGCCGCCGCCTTGGCGGGTCTGCGTGACGGCGACGCCGTCAACGCAGCGCTGGAGGAGCTGCTGGCGGGTGACGTGGCGGCGTGGCTGCGACTCCATGCGCTTAACGTCCGGTGCTTCGCTGCGGCTGCGGCGGTGGCAGTGCCGCCGCCGCCGCCGCCGGTGGCGCCGGCGCAAGCTGCGTCCACGGTCGCGACCGCTGGTGTGTCCCGGTTGGGCGTTAGCAGCGAGCCGTCATCTTCATCGCCCTCCTACTACTCCTCTTCCCGGAAAGCACGGGACGTGCGCTAGCGTGGCGTGGCGAGCGTGATGCGCCTGGGGAACAGTTCTGGGCCCCCGGGGGGGGGGTGCAGTCGCCGCCACCGCCGCCGTCGCCGCACGAGTAGCAGCTGTAGCAGCCATACCACATGATGCCCTGACTTGTCATTAACACTGACGGTAGAGACTTGACTTGGCTTTGCCTTCCCTTTGCTCCATGTTATGTCATGTTATGTCATGTTGTTGTTGCCTCCTGTTATGTGCGCGTGTGTTTGCATGTTCGCATGTTTTATTTTCTTTGAGAGAGAGTCCCCGCAAATCAACATTGCGAGTGCTACGACGCAAGAGAGAGAGAGGATTGTGCCGAACCCCTTAAAATGCGATTTTGCACATGTCGTCGTGCAGCACGGCCAAAATGGTTTTTCCTCTCGCACGAGCCGAGGGGGACGACGTGTAACCAACTTCCTGTGTTTCTTTTAGGATTTGCTAAGTGACAATGACAAAACTGTTCCAGCGATACTTGCAGGGAGTGTTGTAGAGGCTGAGGGAAGACGTACAAGTGGGGAGGGGACGGAAGTGTATATGTAGTAGTGGGGCGGCTGCGGCTGCGGCTGCGGCTGCGGCTGCTAGGTGAAACATACATGGTACCTAGGAGTACGCTAGTAGGGCTTGGCAGGGCCGGCCCGGACGTAGCGCGGGAGACTTATCTCGCTGTTATATACCTGTCGAGGCTGTAGGCAAGGGTACTATGTAGGCAAGGGTACTATGTAGGCAAGGGTACTATGTAGGCAAGGGTACTACGTAGGCAAGGGTACTATGTGTTACACCGGGCAGTGCCAACGGAAAGCCAAGCCGGTAGGGCTACGGGGGGGAGGTCCTTCTCTGGATGTACGGTCTTGGTGCGGCATGTACGACACCGGTGAGGGGGTGAGAGCTCTTAGGGGGTTTACACGAAGAGGGGATAGATAGATGTTGGGGTGGGAAAACGCGGACGGTGTGTTTTGTAAGGATGTTGGAGAACATCAGTACTAGTCACATCACCTGCCATTTTTCTACGACGTCTGGCTGTCTATCATCCGGTCGGGGCTGTTCTGTGGGAACAAACATCCAGAGGTCATCGCCGGTAAGCACCTTGAAGAAGATAGCGGGCGTGTGCTTGATACTGTATGGGGTGGTGTGCGACACACGAAAAGAAGGTAAGGGGCTTAGGCGCGGACCCATGTGTGCGTTTGGGTTTTGAGGGGCGGAAGCCGCCATGCTTCTTGAATCGCTAACTGGTCGCGCTGTTCCTATAGGTGTCCTTCCGGCAATCGCCCTAGGGCCCCGCTTGAGAACCGCAGAAATGATTTGTAACAATAGCGGCGCATAGAGTATAAGTATTGTATTTTAAGACACTATTATACGGCTCGAGAGGTAGCAGGCTTTTGAAGAGGCAAGAGAGCCTGCACCTTCATATATCATGTTAACGACCTATAACGCCAACGTACAAACTGAACATCGATTTGCGCTGTTTGGTGATAATTTTTTTGTATGACGTCGTTAAACACGAGTAGTGTATTCCTTAAATAGCAGGAATGAGCCAGATACTGGTGTCGTCAAGGCCTGCTTTAAAGCGCCTATTTGCGACTGAAACGCAACGGCGTTGCTGTGCGCCTATTTTTACGAATGCGTGCACAGGATTTGGAAGGAGAAACACTATTTACTCCTCTATTGTCTCTAGGGACCAGTTCATATGCGACCGGAGATGCAATGGAACGCTGATGAAGGCAGCCCAGACGGCGCAGGTTGTCAGCACCGCAGCTGATGCTGGTGTGGCTCATGGCGTCTCTGTTGCAGTAATTGGCGTCGGCCTCATGGGTGAGACAGGCTCGTAAAGCTGAAAATGATTTTAGTACTCAGTCGCGTGACAACACGCAGGCAACAAGATTGCTCGTCGTCTGGCATCCCAAGGCGCAAACGTGCGTGCATGGAACCGCAGCGCAGATAAGCTGTCCACCCTATCGGAGGCTGGCATCACCGTGTGCAACACCATCGCCGATGCTACCACAGCGGATGTGCTGCTGCTGACGCTTTCCGACGCCGCCACAATCCGTGAAACCATTTTGAATGACGCCGTGCGGCACCTGCTGGTCGGGAAAACGGTGTTGCAGATGGGCACCATCGGTGAGCACCAGCGGTGACGCAGCTTGAAGCATGCCGGCATGGGAAGGGGCAGCGACCCTCTAGAGTGTCCTGCACGCCATGGCGCGCGTGCAGGTTCTCGGTTCCAGCCCCCTGCCAGGCAGTCTCGCCAAGGCGCATGGACAGGTGGCAGCCCGACGAAGCACTCCTCTTTCGTTACCCCCTTCACGTAAAGAGCAGACAACACCAAAATCCGTCCAGATGCCCCTCCATCCCCAACCTGCTGTGGCCGAAGCCGAAAGCTCCACATGCCGTGCCCCGGTCCATCATCTAGCGCAAGACCTTCACATGGATGTCCTTCCTGTTCCTCCCTCCTCTTCTCCTCGGGCCCTCTCTTCGTCCCTGCTGCCTTGCTTGCACCCCTGCCCCTGCCCCTGCCACCGCCTTCTCCTCCTCGCCGCCGCCCCCTCTCACGCCACAAGCAGCTAGCGCCCGTTACACCCTCCCCCTCCCCCTCCTTCTCCCCCCTTCCCCCCTCCCCGTCCCCCTCCTTCCCACCCTCCCCAGGCCCTAAGGAATCGTCCTCCCTGGCCTCCGAGGTGGTCTCCGCAGGGGGTGTCTACGTGGAGGCCCCCGTGCTGGGCAGCCAGCCGGAGGCGGAGAAGGGCACATTGCTCATCATGGTGGGGGCGGACAGCGACCCGCGGGTCACTCCTGAGGGGCCCGTGTGGCCGCTGCTGTGCGCCCTGGGCCAGCAGCCCAACATCCACTACATCGGACAGGTCGGCACTGCGGCGGCTGTCAAACTGGCGCTCAACCAACTCATAGCCTCGCTCACGGTGAGGTGGCGGGGTGGTGTGTGTATGTGTGTATGTGTGTAGGGGGTTGTTGGGGCCCGGACGGGAGGGCTGAGGGGCCAGTGACCTATGGCTACGTGGCTTGGACGCTTGCCATGACACGATTGCCTGCGTCTAAGAGATCTCCATTACAGCGGGTTCCCTGCCGTACTGGACTCCTCTGTGTACACTGCCGTACACCGCCCCTCTCTCCCCCGCCTACCCCCCCTACCTTACCCCTTACCTCCCCTGCCCCAACGCCGTACAGGTCGGTTTCTCCACCTCCCTCGGTTTGGTTCAACGCAGCGGAGCGCCCGTGGACAAGTTCATGAGCATCTTGAGGGCCTCGGCGCTGTACGCCCCCACGTACGACAAGAAGCTGGGCAAGATGCTGGACCGGGACTACGGAGCTGCCAACTTCCCGACAAAGGTAAGTACGGGTTGTACGGCAGAGTGTACGGCGTGCCGTTATGGATGCCACGGAGCCTTCTGGGGTCCTTTCCTGGCTCCGAGCGGCCCTCTTCACCGTGTACGACATCCTATCCCCCCAACCACTATTACCACCACCACCACCATCACCACCACCACCATCACCACCACCACCATCACCACCCGCATCAGCACTTCCAGCTGGGCCGCCGCCCTCGTGCAGCACCTGCTGAAGGACGTGCGGCTGTTCGAGAGCGAGGCGGCCGCTGCGGGACTGGACACCCGGCTGCTGGCGGCGCTCCGGGCGGTAACGCAGGTAGCTGGCTTGGGGCTTAGGGTTGGGGCCGGGGCTGGGAGGGGTCGGGTTTGTCTGGTTGGTTAAGCTATTAGCCAATTCTCCCCCCCCTCTCTCCCTCTCTCTCTCTCCCTCTCTCCCCCCCTCTCTCTCCCTCTCTCCCTCCCTCCCTGGAGGTCGTTCCCGCCTGTTTCCCCAAACGGTATACGTCCCCACTGCTACTGCCCGCACTGCCGCCACCCGTCCCTTCCGGGCCTTGTGTGAGCCCTTCCCTTCCCTTTCCGAGGGAGCGGCTGCACCTCACCTCGTACCACACCGCTCTCCTGGGGGGGGCGTGCGGGGCGCACCAAACCCGCATCTCAGCGGAAGGCCGCCACTGCACCGACATTACCGCTCCATTACACCGCCATTACACTGTGGGTACTGAAAACCCCCGCGGTGGGCTGACCTGGGGCGCTTGGTGGCCCCCCCTTGCCTTTGCAGGCTACTGTGGATCGAGGTCTCGACAACACGGACTACTCAGCCGTTTTCGATGCGGTCGTGTATCCGGACATGAGGAGTACGGGGGGGGAAAGTGCCAAAGTGCAGCAACAACGGCAACAGTAGCAGTAGCAGTAGCCACGGCAGCAGCAGTAGTAGCAGTAGCAACGGCGGCAGCAGCAACAGCTGGGGGATAAGGCGAACCACTGACAATTGACGCAGATAATATACCAGAGATTGACGGATACAGGTACACGAGTACACGGATACGAAGGGAGTGACAGCGGCAGCAGCAGCAACAATAATCGTGGAAATGGATGGAAGGCGATGGAGTTCCCTGAATGTCGCTGGGGTGTGTTGCAGAGAGATGATGTGCGGCAGGAATGTTTTCGTTCGAATCAAGTCATCCCAGCCATAGCCAAAGCCTGCTGTATGTGCCAAAGCCAAAGCCAAAGCAAGCCTGCTGTGCTGAAGCCTGTGCCAAAGCCACAGCCTGCTGTACCAAACCTCGAAGCTCGCTTCCTTCCGTCCTGCTGCTGTATGTGTACGTGTTAGCAGCTGGACTTCATTGCCATCATGCATGCATCACCGTTGCCATCATCACCCATGTATCACAAGCAGGTGGATTTTGCTGCTGACTTGTGTGTCGTGATCATGCAATCAGTTACCGGCCGGGACGAAACTCGGTTGACCGTACTGGAATGTAACAGAAAGGTCCTGACCATGCATAAGAAGTGCCTAGTATCTACACAAAATATTACACCGATATGCATATCGTATGAGTGTGTCTATGTATGATTGTGTGAGAGAGATGCAATTTTTCGCAGAGCAGGGAGGAGGAAGAAGTGTCAGTGTGCTATGAAAGAGAGCGCATGGGAGTGTGCAGTTCGAGGGGTCGAGGAGTTCGGATGGCTATTAGTCTGGATGAGTCTGGGGTATCGTACTGTCCTTCTGGACAGTACGACCAACAGACCATCGGTGGTCTCGGAGAGAAAACCGTGCTGCATAACTGGGGGAGCTTGCCGACTTCTCAACAGTTACGACAGCGTTATGTTTTATCCAGTTCTTCAACCTCTTCTTCCTCCTCCCTTTCGGTCTCTTCAAAACAATTATGGAACATAAAGAGCAAAACAAAGGAGAAAATTAGAGGCGTCGTGTTCCTACAGGCGCCTCTATACCACCGCTACCATAGAAAACCAAGAAAGGGCACGATAAGCGGTACTTGTGATGTCAAGAGGCAAATGGCCTGCTGCAATGACATAACAGCTACAGCTACACCATCATCAGCCGTACAAGTGTACGGCGGATCACGACATCAATGGACATGTATTTGTGCTGACTTGACTTTGCACATCGTACAAACCAGCCTGCACCTGTCCTCCATCCAGCATTATGGGAAAATAGGAAAATATGTGCTGCTGCTGCTGCCGCAGCTACAGCATATGCAACCTCTCGCATCGTATCACAGCACAGGAATGAGGTAAAGAGGGGCCTAAGCCAATCCACCCATCCTTTCGAACTATCCATCCGCCTTTATCCATTCGTCAATCATCTTTAATATCTGTCTGTCCAACAAATAATACACCAGTCCACTCAAGGCGGAAAACCGCAAGCAACAGCGGTACTTGGGAATCTTACACAGCACACGTGGGAATTTCGTCGGAAAAGGTCTTCTGATTTTCATTACGATTTGAGAAACACGTCTGGTACCGGTTATGGCTCTGGACACACATATCACGAGATATCCCCAATACATACATACATACAGGCATGTACTGGGGATATAGCACAAGTTATGCAGCTTCGAGTTGCCTTTACCTCAGATAATGAATTGTCGGAGGCGTAGGTTGAGGTGAAAGCGGCTAATGACCTTAGAGAACCCGAGGACACGTGCCATATGCGTCCCTACCTCTCCCCACACCTTTGAGCCCACCTCCATACTATTATTTTACCATATATTCGTACACATGCCACACACGCACAACGCAGCAGGTTCACCGGGGTTTTTTGCCCCTGTGCGTCAGCAACATCGGCGTGTGGGGGTTTGTAATGGTGGCCAAGAGCTTCGCATGTTGCCACATGGGGATTGCAACATGCCGCCATCATTTAAAATCGTGGACGGTGCGGTTATACACCGACTCAAAGGACGGTAAAATGGTAGGCAAGGGGAGTGTATGTAAATGCATCCAGGGCGCTGATTCCAGCGTCGAGAGTCGCCAATCCTACGGGCATCACCCCCGGGGGGGATTATGCTGGCACAGGACCGATCAATCATCACTGCCAAGTATTGCATTGGCGCCAAGCTCCACGCCGTCCGCATCCACGCCTTGGCTGACATTCCAAACGACGCCATCAGTGGGGTGCGGCCGCCATCACATCACAGCTGCCAGAAGGTTCCAAGACTCCGGTTTCGTAGCTGCAGGTGAAGGCCGTGAAGTCGAGCATGTGTGACGTGTCATTCGAGTGTCCGCAGAGATGGCCCCAGCATTGCGCCCGTTGTGTAACATCATTTTCAGGCTCATGCACCTGCACCGCCAACGCTGCCGCCGCCGCCGCGCCCGGGGCCTGATGGAGCTGGAGCTGGGGCTGGAGCTGGGGCTGGAGCTGCCCTATGTGTACTATAGTGAAACGTTGGTCGTCACTGTCCGTCGCCGCCGCCGCCGCTGCCGCCGCCGCCTCCTGCGGTATTGCCGACGCTCCTACTCCTGCTGCTACTGATGATGATGCAGACATGACTGCAGTCTTCGTCTGGGTTGGCGCCACCACTGTATACCTGCGAGCGTTACTCCAGCAGTAGCAATATTCTGTACGACAGTTCTTACCCAACCCGCATTGGTGCCGTAGCTGTGGTAGTGGTGCCGTAGCTGTGGTGTTCAACTTGTGACGAAGCGGCGGGCTAGAGTCCTTCCAGGCCGTTGCTGCCACCGCCGCCGCCGACACTCCCGCCGTAGTTTCTTTAGCTGCGGCTGCAGCAAGCAACGAGGACGACATTGACGACAGTGTTGGCGAGTGGTTCCAACTGAAGGTGAAGCCACAGCCCTGGTCGCAGCACCGGCTCCTCCCATCACAGCGCCATCTACAGCAGCTGCATCCCCCGGCTACCGCCGCACGGCCCTCGCGGCTGCCGCTCATGACGGTCTCATCCCACCAGGTGTAGTCGACTCGAGGATGTACCTCAAACTGGTCGATTTCACACATCTCACGGCAAAGGAGTTCCGTGTCTATTGACTTCATGTCGGCTAGCTCATGAACGGATATCACACGCGGTCCGATCTCCGCGTAAGGCAGCATCGCTGAGTTGACGAGCTGTACGAACTTTGTGGGGTTAGAGTCTGAGGGGGCGATACCGGCTGTCCGGGAAACTTCTTGATACAGTTGCGGTTCTACAGCCGCCGCCGCAGCCGTTGACGATGCTGATGCCTCGACCACTTGTATGGGCATCATCGCATCCAGTTCCACTGCCGTGGTGGGTTCTGTGGGAGGCAGCTCTGGGGCCGCAGCGGTGGAAAGCGAGCAACCTGCTGCTGTTGCCGCGTTGCCGGTGCCGGTGCTGGTGGTGGTGGTGGTGCTGGTGGTGGTGGTGGTGCTGCCAGAATGAAAGGATGTCTGCATGCATAACGTGCATGCGTCACAGGAGCGGCTCTCTTAGTTGCAATGCCTATAAACTATCCATCTTCTATTCCTGCTACTATACTGCTGCTCTTGGCCGCACTTTTTAGGGTTGCAAAGGTAAGGACACATGGTTTTGGCCAAACATTCAGTATATATTAATGGTTACAAAAATTCCTGTGGTTTTAGGGACAATGGCGTTCTTTAATTCATGCTCATTCGAAACGCACCCGGACGAGCTGTCGATATCGCGTTCCGAGGAGACTACGCAATGCCGATTGGTCTTGTTGTTGTATCAGCAAATGCTTTTGCTGATTTTGTTGCTTGTGCTGCTTGTCCTGCTTGTGCTGCTTGTGCTGCTGCTGCTGCTTGTGCTGCTGCTGCTGCTGCTGCTGCCCCGGTGGCACAGCAGTCGCCAGACCCGCGTCCTGTGATGTTGCGATGGGTCGTGAACGCGTTTGCGAAAGGTCGTCACTTCCGAGGATACGACGAATGCCTCTCAGGAGGCGGCAGGTGGCACGACGAGGGCTAACCCCGTGCCCCCTTGGAAGCTCGTCGAGGTCCGAAGCCAAAGGACGTTCGGCGAGGTCAACGTCGTCACGCAAGATTACCTAGAAGAAACACGATAACACAGATAATGCATCAGAATTATGCGCTTAGAGAGATGGAGATATTGCGATGCCGCAAACCTGGTAATAGTCATGCGAAGCGATTCCCTGCTGACCTCTGAAAGCTACATACCGACATTAAAAACCTTGTATTATTTTAGATGTGATATATGATTTGCTGAAAGGTTTCACCTTGTTGTGCGGTTCGTCCTGAACCTGCGTTTACGACAAAACCGCCTGGGTCACATGCGCATGATTTCATGGGAAGCGGTGCCGCTTGTTGGCATGGATTGCTTTCAGGAATGGAAGACGTACTCTGGCAGGGGTTTCCAAGCGTCTGGCGTGACGCCTTCACTCAAGCGCAACGATGGCGCAGCCTGGAGGCACGGCCAGACATCAAGCTCCAAGACTGTACATAGAAGCGATACGTTGTTTTAATTATATAATGCTATCATAAATCTGGATAAAACACAGCGCGGCGATGGGACCGGAGTGAGCATCCGCAAGCATGCCAACTGCATAAAAGAAAGCCACGTACTCAGGTAATGGAAATCTCTTGCAATAATTGCAGCTCTCCATAATCTTACTTTCAATGGAACAAACGTACACAACATACGAATCGGGACAACACCCTTCCACACCGACGAAAGTTTTCTCCAAAAACTCACATCATATACTCTCGCCTAACGATTCACAGGCATTTGATCTTCATTTATAAGATAAGACCCTAATTTCCGCTGGAAAAGTAAGATTTATCGTACTGTTGGAGGCCTGTGGCTGGATGGCTGTAAGCCTGTAATCCAATTTGAATTCGCAAGCCAGCCTTAGTGAATATGATATTGCTCATCATTATATGTACATAACCTATCGCTGCGTCAATCAGTACCTTGCTCGACCGTATCCACCGCACCGCGACCAGTAAGCACATTCCATCCGAGATGCGTGTCGTGGCACCCTACCGTTGTGCCATTCAAGAAGGCCGCGCAGCAGGAAAATCATGGTGGCGATCATGCTGCAGCATATTGCAGCTGCTAAGCTACTTCCTTAACATATACGGACGGACGAACCCACAGATTGTACGAACAAACAGATTGTCATACGGCTCCAATACCTGGTTGAGAACAAGAAATATGTACTGAAGATGTCTGGCCCGCCAGAGGTTCCGACATTTTAAAAATATTGCTGTAACCGATTGGGGTGCGCATACGTTCTGCTTTCATCGCCTGTTTCTTCACCAATCCTGGTTTCTTGAGATACAGGATGAGCCTAAGAATTTAGACCCTTATACCCTCATACATAAAAGGGGCATTTTTGAGGAGTAGGTTAAGTTGCTGGGAAGGTGATAGGTAGCCTGCCATCACCATCTGCTGGTGTGAATAAAAGTTCAAGCAGGAGGCAGAACAACAACAAGGATGTCTCTTATATCACCTCCTAAAGTCCCCTTCTCTAAATTCCCTCCTCAACGAGTTCAAGAGAAGCAAGGAGGGACAAAAGCGACACCCATCGCGAGAAAATAATAAGGCAGCACGTAAGGAGCGCGCAATGATTAAGGCCCCTGTTTTGGGCATTACACGGACCGCTGCCCGGCCCTCCTTGATAATTAGCGTGCGAAGCAGCAGCTGGGGATACAGCCCCTCGCTCACCCATCCCAAAAGCAATCGTACCCCGTCCTTTATTCCTTTTTCTGGAGGTTCCTACTGTTTGAATCCTTGAATTTCAAGCGCAGTCGTTATTTGAAGTCTTTTGAGGGACTCTGTCAATGCTGTGAGCTGGAAGGGACACACACGCACACGCACACACACACACACACACACACACACCTTATCGAGGCGACAGTTACATGATGCGACACATCGGCGCGCGTCACCACCACAGCTCCCGTGATTACGCTCTCACACTCATTCACACGCAAACGCATTAAATGGTCCCGCAAGATCGCAGAACAAAGCCCTACTCTCGGCATCATTTTACTGCCCATGCCCATGCCCTACTACGTAACCGTCCGTTCTCCCGGCCGCTAATCACCCCCGCGTCCACCTTTCCATCCCCCCTTTTCTATTCCACATCTACCCCCCATGCCCTCACATGCACAGCCACACGACCAGACCGACCAGCCAGCCAATCGCCGTGCCGCGGGCCTACCATCCCACGAAATCAGTTTAGCTAAGGTTCTCGGAAGGCCGGGCAGGTCGGCACTTCAATACAAAATAACTCTACATATCCAATTTCAGGTATTACACGGCGGCCCAGAGCACCGTTCCACGGCGCCCCAGAGGTCCACAGGTCCAACCAGGGGGGCAATTACCCCCTTCCCTTTTAACCCACCCCTTCCCACCCCGTCCCGTCCTCCCCGCGTGCGGCCGATTCGGAAAACAACACGCACATATCACAAAACGTGCCATGTGCAATATGCCGTACACATGCCGTACATGGATACTCGCCCGGACCGTATGTGCCGTACACATGTCGTATTCTTACAGGATCATGGTACGGGACAGGTGGACTAATTGATTGCGCACAAAGTTGAGCAGCAGGAAGCCCAGCATGGGCGACACGTCGATGCCGCCAAAGGCGGGCAGAATGCCACGGAACACGTTGAGAAATGGGTCCGTGAACTGGACGCGGCGCAGGAACGGGAGGGGGACGGATTCTTCTCTAAGTTTTTTTTTCAAAAAACGACAGAAGGACCGGAATCCGCAGGGAGGGAGGACCAGTCAGAGTCATTTACAAGCCAGGAAGCCGCAAGGTGCCGAAATCAAGAGGGATAGCTCGAGCGGGTAGTTAGAGCACGAAGTATTAAGTTTAAAGGAGGACCGACCGGACCAGGCACTAGGGCTCAGCACCGAGGTAGCGAATAATATAATTACGATCTTGTTGGTAAATAAATACCGTACTGCTATTGTACATTTCCTGATATTCATTTCGGATGATGTCACGAAAGGCGTGTCAGTGGAAATTATCCCTATCAAAAAAATAGGGTCTGTCCCAAATTGTCGAACTACTATGTACAAATGGCGCCCAAGTACTTAAAGCGCTTTCCATCCTTTTCCGGTTGGTTTTCACGCTTCATACTTATTATTTCTTGCAAGGGATGACACACTGTTGGTAGTAGCCATGAAAAGACTACACCCTACTTCTCTAGGCCGCTCGAGCAGACCAAGTTAAACTTCCTGCTATCCATTTTTGGACTACCTACTTTCGATACCGTCCCGATAATTGTGACAACACAACTGCAAAATCTGCTCATGGCTGTCCCGAAATGGCAATGTCACGTAAAAACTCCAGCCCCATTTTCACGGCCACCCTGAATCGTGTAATATCAGGAATGTACAATAGCAGTACGGTACGGGGTGTTTCCACTGGAAACAGAGGCACTAGGCCTTACGGTATATCAAGGCATGAAAACGTCGACAGAGAGAGGACATAGCTGGTGACTATTGCAGAGGTGGCGAGAACACACACAGGGAATGGTGCTAGTGATTGAGTCCGTGGCGGAGGTTTGGAGGAGGGAACCTGAGCGTGGGGCGGTTCTCATAATCCGAAGTTGTTGCGCGACGCAATACATGGGACAAGTTTCGCACACAACATTTTCAGAAATTAAAGTAATCATCGTACAAGCCGATGTGTTCAAATGTGTTCAGCATCGGCACCGATGATCCGCTCGGGTCTGCTGCTATAACGTGAGACTCATATAGCAAGCTAGACATTTTCAGCATCATCATGACCAGGGGACGCACCTGTCGCAGTGTCGCAAAAGGCTCGTTGAACCAGTTGATGTTCCGAAACCAGGTCAGGATGACCCGCAGCGTCAGCACCAACAAGTAAATCTGCAGGGCGCGCGGTGTTCATCATCCGGTTCCATAAAAAATACTTCAATCAACAGATTCGCGGAGGCCCGGGTCGCATGCGCAATTCGGAATGTATTACAGTAAGAAAATTGTGACGCGGGAGCGCGCGCGTCTTATCGTGGGGATCTAAGACGGTGCTGTGTGACGTCCAAGGTGAGATTGAAACCAGGGTTAAAACTTAAAAAACAAAAACTTTAAAACTAATTTGTTGCCACGCGTCTCTGCGCTGCATGAGGCATTTCATCTCCGAGAGTAGGCGACAAAGCTTCGAGGCTGCAGCAGAGGCTCTGGTGGACGAGGACGAAAAAGAGGCAATGGTGAAAGACGCCGTGTTAGGCGCCTGATGAGCTTATGTTGTTGCACACAGCGTGGTAGGCAGGCCCAAGCACAACGCCGACAACAGACAGTCATAGCTGCCCGACAGCTGCAGCCGACTTTCAGGCCAATGGAGCGATTGTTTGATTCGTGCTTCATGGGAATGGATCTGGATTACTGTAAGCCTGGTCCGGGTAACACCAAACTGCTCCGGAGGCTGGGCACCATAACTGGGGGCTATCTAATACGAAGCGGACGCAGCAAAAGGTTTCCATGCGTGCGACGTCCCCGTTTCATTTTCTAGGCCGACTAGAAGCACGATCCTGCAACTTACATCCAGGGCCTTGGCAATAGCGCCGTAAATTTCTGCGGTTGAGCCCGCCGACGACTGGGCTGCCGTCGCGAACGGGAGGACAGCACCCATCCAATTGATTCCACCCTTCAGCTCCTGCCTTAGAACCTGCAACAGAAGTTTAGATCTAGTCAAAAGAATCAAAACAGCTGCAAGCGGCTCTTCAGCCACCGACAATCGCACATCGCACACCTGCTGTGGCCGCTCTTGGTGGCGCTGCCATATGGATCCCACTGTGGCAAAAACCTTTGCCTTTTGGATTACATTGGGACACACGGCGGCCTTTTTAGAGCACGAAATCGAGAGACAGGTCTGACGGCCCGAAGAATGAAAACAAGTGCTGCGGCCTGTAACACGCAAAATTTAGATGATTATGAAAGATTTCCACCAAGGCCGAAACGCAGTAACGATGTGACTCTGCAAACCTGCTTGCATGGTGGCTGATGGAAGGAAAATTTATGGTAGGGTGAGAATGAGTATCCTAACTAGTGCCAAGGTATTTGTATTGTTGTGTATGCTGTAGCTGGTACTTGGCAGAGTTGCGAGCTCATAACTGAAAGCTCTGGATCAAATGCTGGCCCATGGTCCCTGGGCCACAAGTCACATAGTTTATAATACAACCAGTGTGTTTCACGAAGCGATTTTTTATCCTGGAATTGTGTTTAGCTTACAGCTTTTAGCCCGGATAAGCTTCAGGTTGTGCAACTGAGCGCAAGTAAATTAACCGTATGGCCTGCTGCCCCCAATCAACACGTGGGGCTGCTTCTCAAAATCATACATATAGCTCATCATTCAGGTTGTCCGGTGTGAGCGGTACGTCTTCCATGAAAACGCGGGCCTCTCAGCGTGAACCCCAAGCTAACCTGCCTTACTCTGGCGTTCTCTTGCACGGGATCTATGATTTCATCCAAAATCACCATCTGCAGGGGTCCCGCTCCTGGGCTATAGGTGGTCCAACGCACTCTCATGTGGCCATGTCCGCACCCAAGCCACAAGCACCGCGCCCGATGCGCAAGGCGTCGACGCGGCTTCTTGGCTGTCGCCAGATGGCCACACATCCATCGAACCGAACACCCGGCGACGGTCCACCCGCGCCGGTCCTAAGCGGTCGACGAAGCCGGCAGCGATAAGTCCTAAGCTCGCTCCAAAACACGCGGACAACTCCTTGGCAGGTGTCCATGGCGCCCAAACAGACATCAAAGCTCCCCTTCACCACCTCTCAGCGAACCTAAACCCAATAGGACCAGGCGCCGTTGCCGCCGCCGCCGCCGCTGCCACGGCAACGGCAACGCACATCACAGGGGTTACCGACGAACCTACCGATGAACCTACCGACGAACCTACTCCCCCCATCCGGCGGACACGTCGGGACACTCCACACATGCCGCGGGCCTCGGAGCCGGAGTCCGACTCCGCGGCAGACTCAGCAGCAAGCGACACAGGTGTTCCTGTTTTCCGCAGCGCCAGACGGACGTACGACCGTACGGATGCGTCCGCTGCGATGTCAGCGGCCCAGGTCGCCGCCACCGTCAGCGCCGCATTGGAAGCCGCGGAGGCTGCTGCCGCAGCAGCGGCCATAGAGACATCCGCGTCGATGCCGCCGAGGCCCCCGGGCTCCCGTAACCGGCGTCTCCGCCATGAAGAGCCCGAACCAGGTTCTTCAGGACGAGGATCTGGACCGGACCAGGACCAGGGCCAGGGCCAGGTTACCGCCACCGCCAGCGAAACGGTATCCGTGGCACCCGCTCTGGATCGTACACCGCTTGACGGTGACGTCGGCGGCGCCGCTGCCGCCGCCTCCAGCAGCGGCAGCAGCAGCAACCGCAGCAGCGGCTCTGGCCCCTCCAGTCCCGAGAGTCTAGTTGCGGCGAGGGCTCGGGCGCTGCAGATCAAGGCGGCCTTGTACCGCAATATGCGCTCCGAAACCAGGACGCCCTCCGCCAATTCCGTTAAGCTCATCTTCTCGCCAGTTGAGCCCAAGGAGGGTACGGCACCTGCGGCGGAGCCGCCTCGAGCGGAGCCGCTCCCGCCGCCGCCGTCGCATGGGAGAGACAAGCTGCTGGCGCCGGCGACAACGGTAGAGGGAGATTCTCGTGGAATGCTTGGCGGCCGCCGACGCGTCGGCGGCGGCGTTGGCAACGGTGGAGCTGCCGCCACCAACAGCCGCGCGGATGATGCGGATCATGTACGGCAGCGACGGCGCACTGCTGAAGCATTGGCCGAATTGCGCATTGGTGAGCGGCGGCGGCGGGAGGAGCAGCGGCAGCGGCAGCAGCAACAGCGGCAGGAAGGGAAAGCGCTCGCACCGGCGAGTAAGCAAGGGCTGCGGGTTGATGATGTAGATGTGGAGGTGGAGGAGGCGGTGGAGGTGGCGGGTGAGGAGCGTGAGGCGCGGATCGGTGGGTTGAAGCGCAGCGGAGGATTGCCGTGGCGGCGGGACCCGCTGGCGGAGGCGGCGCCGGCGCCGGCGGGCCGCTATGTGGGCGGCCATCGCACGGCGAGACCTGTGACCGCCGCAGGAACCTCAGCTGCGGCAGTTGGAGGTGTGGCAGCTGCAGCAGCGGCGGAGGCGGCGGCGGAGGCGGAGGCGGAGGCGGGAGAACGAACTCGGAGGGATAAGGTGCAACGCGCCAATGAGGAGTTCGCAAGGTCCCTTGAACGCGTGGCGGCGGCAGCGGCGGCCGTGGCGGAAGGGGAGGGGGAGTCTGGGGGCGACGGAGTTGAAGGGCCTGGCCGCCGGCGGCTCGATCATCAACAACCGCAGGGGGAGGAGGAGGGGGAGGACCGGCGGCAGTGGCGGCGGGAGCAGCAGGCGACGGCGGCGGCGGAACACGACCAGCAGCAGCGGCGGCATGTACGGGAGATGCCGGGGAACCGTCAAGCAGCGGGAGAGCAGGTGCTAGAGGAGCGGAGGCAGCAGCAGCGAGAGCAGGCGAACATGCTGCGTGACCTGGCCAACATGTTTCGGAGCTTTGCTCGGCAGGTGCAGCCGTCAGCAGCCGCCGCCGCCGCCGCCGCCGCGGCAACGATGGGGGTGGCGGCGGTCAACCCGGCAGCCGCCGCGGCCGTTGCCACCGCGCGCGCAGACGCCGGCTCTGCTGAGTGCAGCCGCGAGCGCGGTCAGCACGCCGCGCCGTACAACCCCCTGCCTGGCTTCTTGGGCCTCCCGCAGCCCAACGACAGTCAGCTCGTTCTAAAACCGTTAACGGTTAAGGACTTAACGGAAACTGACGATGTTGATGCGGAGGGGGGCTGGAGTGAGGGGGCGACTGCGGCGGCGTCGGCCGGCGGCGCGCTCCTCGCGCGTCAGCTGCCGACCCGTGGGTCACTACTGCAGTTACTGCAACCAATAGCTAAGGCACAGCTGCCGCCGTACACTCGATCCGTCGGGCTGAGGATAAGCACCCGGCGGCGGCCGCGGGTGCTGCGGCTGCCGTTGTCGGTGCCGTCGGAGGCGCTGGAGATTGTGGGCGACGGCGACCGGATGCCGGCGACAGCGCTGCGTGCGCTGCGCCGTCGCTCGTACTATTACCGTCAGCTGGCGCCGCAGCACCAGCAGGTTTCGGCGACGACGACGGCGGCGGCGGCGGCGGCGGTCGCGGCAAGTGTCCCGTCGGCCGCCCGCGACCTGCAAGATCAGGAGCAGCAACGGCAGGAGCATGAGCATGAGCAGCAGCAGCAGCAACAGCATGTACGGGAGAAGGAGCCGGCGGCCCGTGGCAGCGATGACGTTATGGCCGGACAGGGCCAGGGCGAGCCGGCGGCGGCGGCGGCGGCATTGCCACGACCACGGCCGTACTCTTTGTCTGGCAGGGTCTTCAAAGTCAAACGGAGGGCACAATATTCTGATGTGCTGAAGCGCACAGTACGTAGGGCCGCGTTGGACAGAAACGCCACCGCCGCTGCGGCGACGGCGACGGCGACGGCGACGGCGGCTGCCGCCACCGCTGCCGCCGCCGCCGCCGCCACCACCACCAGCGCTGGCGGAGGCGAGGAGGGTGAAGAGGGCGAGTTGGAAGACCCGCGAGGCGAGTACAACTCCGCGGCGGAGGTCGTGAACGACGTGTACGAGCAGATCATGGGCGTACGGCTGCCGGAGCGCGCCATGTACGGCAAGCGAGCGGAGACGCTTGCCGCGATGACGCCCAGCAGCATTAGAGAACAAACAAGGTGCCCCCGACTGACCTGCGGGACCAGGGGGCCGTGCCGGGTATTGTCGTAAATGTGCATCGTGTGTGCCGCGGGTTGGGGGGATGGATCCAGATCCAAATTCGGTTGGAAAATCGGTTGTTTCCTTCCCACATAGACAAAAGGAAATTCTCCAGGCTAGGTTGTTGCGCAGCTCAGGTGTTTTGCCCTTGTCTCGGTTTCCTGATCCCGCTATAAATGCTGGGGTGGGACAGTGATGGGGTGGGGTAACCCCACGGGGGTTAGGGGGGAGGGGAGGGCACTGGGGGGCCACGTTGTCAGGCTGGGGCATGTTGGGCAGCTTTCCACCCCCCATCACACACCCCGGCGGTAGGGCCGTGCCGGTGCCCCCTCCTGCGGGGGCCCTCTCACCCCCCGGCCAGTTCATCTCCCCACATGCGCCATGCATCACTTGTGGAGAAGTTTCAGGAGGCCTTCGTACCACAAGTCTTGAGATGTGGGCTCTCTCCTCCACCGCCTGTCGTCCTCCTCCGCGTCGTATTATCCTTGATGTGCTTTTGCTTTTAGCCTCCTTCGTCCTGCTCCCCCTTAACCTTGCCTTGGGGCGTTAATTTTCTTCTTCCCACTTCCGTTCGCTGTCCTACGTAATCGTGTTAAATACACGCACACGCACACTCACGCGTGCACACACCTACACATACACCTACACCTACACCTACACATTACCCGTGATCTCTTTTTCTCCCCCGCCCGCCCCCGGCGAAGGAGCTGGATTGAGGCTTGCGGCAAGGACTACGCCCTAGCCTTCCATGCTAGGTACGACAGTAGTACGGCATAGGAGAAGTGGGTGCGCGGGTGTGATGGCGAGCCGGCCCGGCAGCCCGGCACCTCCCCCCCCTCCGGTGGGCGACCGCGACCGCCGTACAATCCGCTCCCAGTAGTGGCTCCTCCTCGTGTTGTTGTGACCATACCGTACCTCGGTGTGCAGCAGTAGCAGTAGCAGTAGCAGCAGCTGTAGCTTGGCATGATGAAAGTCATGAAACCTCACGACCCGCCTATCCTCACCTCCACATTTGTTCCTTCTTGCTCTCCATTCGCATTCAAAGCTGTTTTTTCCCAAGGGTTTGACATTCGCCTTCTCCTCAACCGCCTCCACCTTCTCCTCCACCTTGTCCTCCACCTCCACCTTCTCCTCCACCTCCTCCACGTTAACCGCCTCAACCGCCTCAACCGCCTCAACCCTCACCTCCTGTACCTCACAGGGAGCCCCTCCTGCTCGCTACACCAGCCGAGACGTTGCTGCTCTCCCTGGAGCATTTCTCCCGGGCCTTTGGACTGCCGCCCGGGGAGTGCGTGCAGCTGGCGCTCCGGAACCCGGCCTTGATCGGACTGCCGTACGAGCAGCTGCAAGGCACCGTGGAGGCGGTTTCGGAGGCGCTGGAAATCGGACTGCAGGAGGCGGGCAAGATTGTCATCAAGTGCCCCGGCCTGGTGCGCGCTATATTGTAAAAAATAGTGTGCGTGTATGTATGTGCGTGTGCGTGTGCGTGTGTTTGTCAACATGCATGTGTGTGTATGTGCGCGCGCGTGTGTGTGTGTGTGTGTGTGTGTGTGTGCGTGTGGCACACACACAAATACACACACACCACTTCGGCCTCCTCCCATATCGCGGCTCAGATATTAAAAAGCGCGCACACACACACACACATACACACACACCAACACACACACACACTCACAACTCTGAGGAAAAGCAGCACACCTGACATCAGGGCCGTTTTGTTCCCCCCGACCGACAGGCGCTGCGGCAGCCTAATTTCCCTGTGGCGCGCCGCTTGGAGCTCCTCGGCGCACTGTTGCCCGTGTCGAAGGACAAATTACGGCAGGTGGTACGGCAGCGGCCGCAGCTGCTGTCCAAATCAGCCCAGGTGAGCGGGCATGTGCGTGGGAGTGCAGGAAGCGTTTGGGTGGATGTAGGGTTTTGGGGGATATGGGATATTGGCGGGATATGGGGGAAAGTTGAAAGGTTAAGGATGGTAGGAGGATGGGAACCAGTACCGGACATTACTAAAATATCCTCCCTCCTTCCCCCTTCCCTCTATAACCTCCCCTCGCCCTCTACCTCGCCCACGACCCCGGCCCCCCTCCC